GCCTCCCGGCTCGCCGGCTGAGGCTGAGGCAGCGGCTGACAAAGGACTCTCGCCAGTGCCGCCGCCCTTCTCATCCGGGCATTCAGGCCCCTGCGGAGAGGTGGGGGGAAGGGCAAAGGAGGAGGAGAAAGAGCAGGAGGGGCGCGCGCTTGGAGCTGAGGCCCTTTCCAGGGCTCCGGGCCTGCGGCCCAACGGACGGAGGCCGAGGAGGACCCGCAGAGGTGGCGGCGGTCGGGGGCAGGAGGATGGTGCAGAAGGAGAGTCAGGCGGCTCTGGAAGAGCAGGAAAACGAACTCAATTCTAACCCTGCCGCTTCCGCGGGGACATCGCTGGAGCAACCGGCTGCTCCGGCTCCCGGAGAAGATAACCCAGCCGGGGCCGGGGGAGCGGCGGTGGCCGGGGCAGCAGGAGGGGCTCGGAGGTTCCTATGTGGCGTGGTGGAAGGTGAGCGCCGTGGCGCGGGCTGGGCCGGAGAGCCCCCCATCCCCCCCGTACTGACATAATCTCTCCTCGCGCGGTGGGTGGTGGCGGTGCTTTAGAGGCCCTGAAAGGCGGTTATCTCTTTAGGTCTGAATTTGGCTCTGCTTGAACAAGGGGAGAGGTGAGATGGTAGGCGAGTTTCCCCTCCCCGCGTCCTTAAACGGCGTCCAATTCTCCTCTGGCTACTAACAAGCCTTGACCTCGCCAGTCTTGGGCTTGGAGCCAGGCAGAGTCCCCAGGAGGCCGTGGTAAGGTCCCCCGTGTTAGGCGCTCAGTTACACTTCTTCGTACCTTGGGGTTTTATACTCTATGGTCGCCTGCGTTCGAATGAAAAAAATGTGCAGTGCCTCTGTCCCCACTCTATGGGAAAGTACCCAGTCCACACCGACGTGCTCCTACCCCTGGAGTGAAGAGAAGCGCCTTCAGCTTGTATGCAGATTCTTCTCTGTTTAAAATTTTTTGTGACCAGCCCTCAGTTCCTCCCCCCACCTTTTGAAGATTCATTTGCAGCCTAGAAAAATTACTAGGGCTGTACTTTGCCCTCGAGGGAAGAAGCTTTGACAGATTCTCAAAGTGAGATACGGATTTTGGATATAGTGACTGCAGAAGAGGCTTAAAGATGCCTTTCTCACCACCTTCCCAGTTACAGTTGAAAGGATGGACTCCTGGTAGTGAGGGAAAATTACAGAATATTGTATCAGTTTCTAAGTCAGAGAGGACAGGTACTCAGTTGGTATTCCTCGGAAGCCTTAGTCAGTAACATTATTGCTCTTTTCGTCCAGTACAGCGTCTGTTTCAGTTTTCTGAAGCATTTTGGACTACTCAGGGTTTTCTAGATTTCTCTTTAGTTACTTTCCCATTTGTGATGCTGTAGGTGGGTGTATAACAATTCATCTTTATAATAAAAAACCCAACGGTATGGAAAAAAGGATTTCCTCTGGATTGAGAGCGTCAGCTTTTCCGGTGTCGCCTGAATATTATTTTGAAAACTGGGTTGTATTTTAGATAATGGTTTAATTACAGAGAACAGACTACTTTGTAGTTACAACTAAGACATGAAAGGGTTCAGCAAAGTTAACTGTCTTGCGGAAACTGGAGGAAGACAGAACGGAAAACTGTTCTGTGTGTGTTCCACTGGAGTCTGTGTGTGTGTGTGTGTGTGTGTGTGTATCATGTTTGCTTTGTGTGACTTATGTGTCGATATACTTACTGGGCCGAGTGCAGGGAGATTTCAGAAAAAGATTTTTATTATTAAAGATCTTTGGGTAGAGTACAGAGGATGACTGAGGGAATCTGGAGATTTCCAAGCTAGTCTGGAGTGCTTTTAAGGAAATTTGCCAGTCCTTTGTGCTATTCCTTCCGGATTAAAGGACAAAGCACATTGTGGTTCAAATTAGCTTGTTTTGAATATTTTAAGAGGACTCTTTCTCTTTCTGTATTAAAGTTAATACTGTTACCTTCTATTCTGTCTGTTGTCCCTCCTCTCTCCCACACCTTTATGTATTTTTTTGGGTAACCAAGCATCTAAGTTAGCACTAATTATGAATATATATATATAATATATATATATTATATATATAATAACTATTTGTATTTAGTTGGCACAATTCCTGGCTATAGCTACTGCCAAGATTTCTTTTTTGTTTTCTTTTCCTTGCAAACATCTGTTGGTTGTAACTCTTGCCTTAACAGCAGCACTGCTTCCTCTTTGTGGTGCTAATCAACCTAAACCAGGAACCTGACTCTCAAAGGGCTGTTAGGGTTTCTAATCTTAAAATGTTCAAGGTAGAAACTTGAAAAAAAAATTTTTTTATATTGCATCAACTCTAAAGGGATGTTTAATTCTTGCTCCTTTAAGAGAGAAATAATGCTGTTAGTAAAACTAAAGACTTGTGGCACGGCAGGTGGCATGGTTGGCACTGAACTCCCATGTGGCCGACCACTGTTCAGGTCTCTGACCTGTCCTGCTACTTTTTCATGTCCTCTTTCTCTGTCCTTCCTCTCTGGTCAAATTAAAATGAATAAATAAATAAAGTTAAACAAAATAATTAAAAAGAATTCTAAAGGCAGAAAGTGAGAAAGCAGGCCGCCAGGTCAGGGATCTGAACCGTGGTCGGCCATGTGGGAATCCGGCGCCCCCAACCACCACACCACCTGCTGGCCCCTAAATAAAATAATTAAAAATAAAACTAATATAAACAAGATTATGATAATTTAAAAATAATAATACAAACAAGATTATGATAATTTAAAAACTAAACAACTGAAGACTTGTACATATTTAGCCCAATCAAAAATACAAATTCTGAATTACCTGTAAGATTGAGGAACCAGCAGTTGGTGTAATGGCTATGTTACTGGGCCCCCCATGTAGTCAACCACGGTTCGAGTCCCAGACCTCGTGGCTTAAACTCAGTCTGGGCATGTGTGTGTGCATGCCCAAGATCCCTTCAGGGAATGGAGGAGAAGGGATTGTGGTGTGGCCATCCCCCCTGAGAGGTGATTTCTCACTTCTGTCTCTGTCTTTCTGGCGAGCACACATGCCCTATAGCAAAAACCTCTCCCCCACCAAAAAAAAAAAAAAAAAAAAAAAGATTGAATTCTTGAGATTGAAAATGTTAACAGTTTCATACATTACTATATAGTGAATTTTTCTTTAGTCTGTTACTGTCCTTTTTTGGAAACAGAGTACTCATTCTACCTAGAAATTGGAGCTTAATTTCAGAAATTTCTGTTGTAGGTTCGTCTGTTTATACTCTATGCATGTGGAGCGTTTTGTATTCGGAATGCTTTTATTAACTGTCATAGTGGCAGCCTTGAGGGTATCCTTATTGCTGGCTGATGATTAGTCTGAGACAAGTGGAAAGTAAAGGTTAGGCAAGCAGTAAGGTGTGTGTGTGGCAGAGCTGTGTTAGCACATACTAGCACCAGGTACCAGTTAGGGGCTTGTACAACTTAGGTCGTCAGTCTGTACGTTTGTTTCCTCAGGTGTGCCCATCTCGTTCTTTGCCCTCTTATGGGACACTCTGGAGCAAGTCAGTCACATTCTGGAATTTTCTGTTCAAACTTTGTTCCGGAATTAAGATTGCTGGAGTTTGCTCTTTGGGCCAAGTTCTACTGTTGAGTTTGTTGTGAATGTGGTTTCAGGCAAGATACTTTTTTGGTCCTTTTGATTATAGTATTTGGAACATAAAAGGGGCAGGAGAGTGATTATAAAATTAAGTGAATACAGTTTTTTCCCCTAATCCTGTCCCTGTTCTTTTTAATACCTTTCCTATCTTAACCTGTTGCTCTAAATGTGGTTTACTATCCCTCCTAGATAGTAATAGTTAATTAATTGTTTGGATTACTTTGCTTCCCCTCTCCCATCATAAGATTAAGACAATTTTTTGTTTGGTTTTGTTTAGAGAGAATTTTGCTATAGGGCATATGTCCCCGCCAGAGAGAGCAAGAAATCACTCTCCAGGTAAATGGCCAAGCCGCAATCCCTTCTCCATTCTTCTGTTGGGATTTGCACCTGGCTTAAGTTTCAAGCCACTGGGTCCAGGAGTCGAGCTGTGGTTGACTACCGTGGGAGTCCAGTGATGTAACCGCTATACAATTTGCTAGTCTCAAGACACTCTTAAAAAGTTAAATTTTGGGGCCAGCAGGTGGCGTATAGCGGTTATATCTCTGGGCTCCTACCTGGCTGATCATGGTTCAAGTCCCGGACCCAGTGATTTCAAACTCAAACTGGGCACGTGTATATGCAGGCCCAAGATACCAGGAGGAGAACGGAAGAGAAGGGATTGTGGCGTGGCCATCCCTCCATGACGGGTGATTTTTTGCTCTGTCTCTCTGGTGAGTGCACATGCCCTATAGCAATACCTGTCCAAAAAGAAAAATTTAAATTTATCTGTCCCCTATTGACAATGCCAATGAAAATAATTTAGATGTTTTTAAGCAGGTATCGTGAAAGTAGCAGGTGTCATGGTAGAAAACTAAAATCCAAGCAAAAGGAAAGTAAAAGCCATCTTATAATATTACTAACCCCAAAATAAACCTTAATGTTCTACTAAATGTCCTTTGGATTTTTATGTATTTTACACACTTTTTTCGAAATGAAATGGTGTATTTCGTAACTTGTTTTTTTAAATAAAGCTTACCTTATTTGGAAAATAATTTCATTCTCATTTTGAATTTAGGATTTTATGGAAGACCTTGGGTTATGGAACAGAGGAAAGAGCTCTTTAGAAGGTAAAATTTTGATTATATGATGATGATAGGAGAGTCTTAAACTCTTAGCATACTCTTTTATTTGTAGAAATAGTAACCCTGAATGGCCTAGGTAAAGTTTGATGATTTCTTCTCTTTATTTTCCTCAAAATAATTATTTTATTTCACTTTATTTATGTATTTTCATTTTACCAGGGAGGGACAGAATAAGAGAGAAAGAAAGAGAAAGTGAGAAAGCAAGCCACCAGGTCCATGACTCGAACCATGGTCAGCCAGCGTGCGCCAAGAGTGATTTTTTTTTTTTTTTTTTTTTCTTTTTTTTGAGAGGTTTTCTCTATAGGGCGCGTGTGCTCACCAGACAGAAAGTGAGAAATCACCCCCGGGGTGGGGGGTGGTGGTGGTGGACACGCAGCAATCCCCTCTCCTCCATTCTCCTCTCAGGATCTTGGGCATGCACGCACATGCACCCGGCGTGAGTTTTAAGCCACCGGGTCCGGGACCCGAACTGCGGTCGACTACATGGGAGTCCAGCAACATAGCCATTAGGTTAACTGCTGGTCCCTTGATGATTTCTTAATTGCAGGTTGTTTTACCTTAGTTCTTTACCTCTTTTTCACTCAGACCATAAATTTTCAAAACTTTTCCTGGGAAGCAAAATAGGTTTAGGATTTCTTCTGCTTCACCCAGAGGTGGTGTGTTTTTGTTGACATACTTTGTGATAATTTAATTTTTAGGAATTGTACAGATTACAAAAAGGGTGATTGGTATAGAATATTATTAGCTTTGTTTAAGATAGAAATGCTCTAAGAGGAGGGGGGAAATTTAGATTTACAGTTTATGAATATTGTTTGTTTATACGTAAGTAATTTTTCCCCCTTTAGGCTCCAGAAGTGGGAGTTAAATACATACTTGTATGCCCCGAAAGATGACTACAAACATAGGATGTTTTGGCGAGAGATGTATTCAGTGGAGGAAGCTGGTAATGTTTTATTTTTAATTCATAAATTCAGAATATATTAAGAAAACTTCTATAGTTTCAATGTAGTTGTATAAGAGTTTTATTAAGTATTTCATTTTCACCTTGTAGGTAGTTTTGTATTCAGTCTATATGAGTTAGCATAGATTGAAAATAAAACAGTAATGCTTCTCTAGGACAGGCAAGTGAGGCACCCTACTTGAGTGCAAATTTTAAGGGATTCCCAAAAAACATTTTAAACAATATTTCATGCATTTATTTATTTATTTTTGGAGAGATTTTTTTCTTTAGGGTACGTGCGATCGCCAGAGAGAGAGACAGAAAGCAAGAAATCACCACCCCACCCCATCCTTCTGGGTGGAATTACTGTGCCCCGATCTCTTCTTGATTTTCCTCTTGGGATATTGGGCACACATGCACACATGCCTGGCATGAGTTTGAAGCCATCAGGTCTGGACTTGAACCGCTGTCAACCACATGGAGGTCCAGCAACGTAACCGTTAACACCATCTTGCTGGTGCCAATTTTATGCATATTTGGAAAAAAAAGAAAACTGTACTTAGGGCCATCAGGTAGCTTGGAGGTTAAGGTACTGGATCTTCATATGGCTGTCTACATGGTTTGTGTCCCAGACCTAGTGGCTTGAAAATCATCCCAGCACTTGTGTGTGCATGCCCAGAATCCTGAGAAAAGACTGGAGAAGAAGGGCTTGGTATGGCTATCTCCCTGGGGGGTGGTTTCATGCTCACACTCTCTCTCTGATGTGTGCATATACCCTATAGCAAAACTTTAAAAAAAAAAAAAAAAGAAAGAAAACCTGAAATTAATGCCAAAAAAATTCATGACTGACAAAATGCAGAATTTTAAATTAAGACAGGATGAGTATTACTGATTATTCTTTTGCTTTAGGGTTTAGTATGACCTCCCTTTATCTACTGTTATTTGTTCTTATCCTATTCCAGTGAAGTGGAAAGGAGTAACAAGATCTCCTTGCTGTATATATTCTTTTGGTTTGCTTTTTAGATTTTTGCCATAGGATTCATACACTTGACAGAGAGAAGACATAGAGGGAAAGTGAGAAATCGCTTCCCTAAGGGAGATGACCATCCATACTCCTCTCAGAATTTTGGGCATATGTGCACACGTGTGATTTTCAGGCTGCCAGTTTGGACTTGAACATAGTCAGCCATGTGGGAGTCTGCACCTTAACCACATTGCCGCCTGCTGGTCCCAGTCTGGATGTATTTTTATCTTATGGTTGTTACATAAAATTGATAAATAGTATATCATAGGACCTCCTTGTAAATTAGGCTGGTGGTTCTTTTTCTTTGGGGAGTTGAGTTAATGGAGAAACATTTTCATACTTGGAATTAAATAGAATACACATTTAGTTAACAAGATGTCTGATGATAGAGCCCAACTAAGACACTAAAGACAAAAGTTTTCTTGAATTACGTACGAAGAGGCGATTAAAATTCATCTCCATCTAGCATTGTTTACTACTCTATATAATTTAAGTGCTTGTTCAACTTAATTCTTTTCTCATGGTGCTGGTAATGAAATTTAATGTTATCAATAATCAACTATACTCTAATGACCATCTTTTTTTTTTTTTTTTTAAAGAGATTTTTGCTATAGGATATGTATGCTTGCCAGAGAGACAAAAAGTGAGACATCACCCCCTAGGGGAGTGGTCACGTCATAATCCCTTCTCCATTCTCCTCTTGGAATTTTGGGCACATACATACTCAGTGTGAGTTTAAGCCAGTGGGTCGGGGACTTGAACCACAGTTGACTTTGTGGAAGTCCAGTGACATAACCATTACCCCCATCTGTTGGCCCCCAAGTGACTTATCTATTTTTTTTTCCCTAAATGACTATCTTAAGATACCACTGAAAGTTATTCAAAGATTTATCCTGTGATGGGACCAGCAGTTAGTGTAATGACTACCACTGGACTCCCATATAGTTGACCATGGTTCGAGTCCCGGACCCGGTGGCTTAAACTCACGCCGGGTGCATGTCTGTGAGTGCCCAGGATCCTGAGAGGAGAATGGAGGAGAAGGGATTATGGTGTGGCCATCCCCTCTAGGGAGTTAGTTCTTGCATTCTGTCTCTCTCTGTCTTTCTGGTGAGCAGACGCACCCTATAGCAAAAACGCCCCCCCACAAAAAAAAAAAAAAAAGATTTATCCCATCATATGTAGTGGTAATACTTAGGTTTATTTAAGAAAACTGTCTTAAAATTGTAAAAACTTAAGCTCTATAATGAATATTGTTCCTGGAGACATAAGGATGAGTAGTGAGGATTGTTAAGGCCATCAACTAATCCTGGTTCTTTTTTCTTTTAAGAGATTTTTGCTATAGAGTGCATACGTTCACTGAAGAGACTGAGACAGAAAGCAAGAAATCCCTCCTCAGGGGGTGAGGGATGGCCATGCTGCAATCCCTTCTCCAGTCTCCTCTCAGGATTTTGGGCATGCACACATGTGCCCAACATGTTTTAAGCTTCCAGGTCCAGTCCTGGACTGGTCGACTGTGTGGGAGTCTGTCAACGTAACCGTTACATTATCTATTAGTCCTAATCCTGGTTCTTAAGGAAGCTTTTTTTGGTTAAAAATTATTAAGATTTTTCTTTTTTTGGAGAGGTTTTTGCTATAGGGCACGTGTGCTCGCCAGACAGAGAGAGAGAGAGAGACAGAAAGCGAGAAACCACCCCCCCCGGGGGGGGGATGGCCACGCCGCAATCCCTTCTCCTCCATTCCCCTCTCGGGATCTTGGGCACGCACGCACACAACGCCCGGCGTGAGTTTTAAGCCACCTGGTCCGACACGAACCACAGTCGACTATGTGGGAGTCCAGTGACATAGCCATTACGCTAACTGCTGGTCCCAAAAATTATTAAGATTTTTTAAAAGAATGATTTTAATCTAATTTCTTCATTGTTATTATTTTGTTTTATTTTTTTGAAGTTGACCAGAGAGAGAGTCAGAAAGCAAGCTGCCAGGTCCAGGACTTGAACCGCAGTCAGCCATGTGGGAGTCCAGCTGCCATAACTACCATTCCACCTCCTGGCCCCTTATCATTTTGGGGGACTGGCTTATAGCCTAGTGGTTAAGGGTGTAGAATCCTATATGGTTGGCCACATGGGATTGAGTGAATTCTGGCCCTCATGGCTTGAAAAACATGTGGGACATTGTGCATGTATGCCAAAAATCCTGCCGAAATGGAGAAGGGATTGTAGCATGGCGTGTCCCATTGAAGGGATGTTTTCTTCCTCTTACCTCTTGGTAATAAAAAGTGTTTTTTCCTTTTGAAATTATGAAGTAGTGGGCCAGCAGTGACATGGCGGGTAAAGCACTGGATACTGCATAGCTGACTTTGCCATTTGAGTACTGGAAAAACGCATGGGCACAGTGTGCATGTATGTCCAGTGTGTGCATGCTGAAAATCCCAAGAGGAGAATGGAAGGAAATAGACTGCTGTCTGCCCATCCTCCGTGGGAGGGTGATTTCTCACTTCCTCTTTTTCTTTGTCTCTCTCTTCCTGGTGAGTACACGTGCTCTACAGCAAAAATTTTATACACACACACACAACTATATATATATGTATTATATATGTGTGTGTGTGTGTGTATATATATATATATACACACATATATATTACATATGTAAAGTAGTTGTATATGGATTTATTTAGTTAGGAATTTCCATTCAGAGACTGCAAAAAAATGATATTTACAACTTTCAAATGCTGTAGGAATTAGGGAACCAGCAGTTAGCGTAATGGCTATGTCACTGGACTCCCACGTAGTCGACCGCGGTCTGCGTCCCGGACCTGGTGGCTTAAAACTCACGCCGGGCGCGTGTGTGTGCTTGCCCAAGATCTCGAGAGGAGAATGGAGGAAAAGGGATTGCGGCGTGACCATCCCCCCTGGGGGGTGATTTCTCGCTTTCTGTCTCTATGCCTCTCTCTCTCTGTCTGGCGAGTGCACGCGCCCTGTAGTGAAAGCCTCTCCAAAATAAAAAAAAAAAGTCATAGGAATTAGAAATGGTTTTGTTCAATAGAGAATTGACAATTCAGTATTTTTGAGAAATAGCAAGAAAAGAAAGAAGGCTTTATTGATTTTAGTTTACTTCTTGAAAAGGATAAACTATTTTGAGGAGAAAAAAAGGACCTTTTATTTTGTTGTGTTCAAATAAACCAAAGATGTGAAAACTTTTTTTTTTCTTTTTTCACTGATTGTATCCTTTCAGGCTTATGTCATTTTGTATGGCCTGTTTTCACATTGGACACGACAATTTCGTAAGCTTAAGGAACTTCTCTTTTTGTAAGTTGGTAAAAACAACTTCAGTTGAAAAGTGAAGGTTCTTTAACTTTTCAGTGCTGCATTCTAAAAGCATGAACTCTGTTCTTTAGAGCAACTTATGACTCTCATCTCTGCTGCACGGGAATATGAGATAGAGTTCATCTATGCTATTTCACCTGGATTGGATATCACCTTTTCTAACCCCAAGGAGGTATCTACACTGAAACGCAAACTAGACCAGGTAACTCCTTTTTAAGTTTTCCTTGCTCAGTACTTGAAATTAAAAGTGAGATGCATTTATGATGTTAAAAGGAAAGCAGGGGGGCTCGCTGATGGTGGGATAATTGGGGTGGCTGGATCCCCTATGGCCAATTTTGCTGTTTGAGTCATGGACCCAACTGCTTGAAAACAGAAAACACAGTGAGAGAGACCAGCAGGTAGTGTGGTGGTGAGGGCACTCGTCACCCACATGGCTGACTATGGTTTGAGTCCCAGACCAGGTGGCTTGCTTTTCGCTTTCTGTCTCTATGCCTCTCTCTCTCTGTCTGGCGAGTGCACGCGCCCTGTAGTGAAAGCCTCTCCAAAATAAAAAAAAAAAGTCATAGGAATTAGAAATGGTTTTGTTCAATAGAGAATTGACAATTCAGTATTTTTGAGAAATAGCAAGAAAAGAAAGAAGGCTTTATTGATTTTAGTTTACTTCTTGAAAAGGATAAACTATTTTGAGGAGAAAAAAAGGACCTTTTATTTTGTTGTGTTCAAATAAACCAAAGATGTGAAAACTTTTTTTTTTCTTTTTTCACTGATTGTATCCTTTCAGGCTTATGTCATTTTGTATGGCCTGTTTTCACATTGGACACGACAATTTCGTAAGCTTAAGGAACTTCTCTTTTTGTAAGTTGGTAAAAACAACTTCAGTTGAAAAGTGAAGGTTCTTTAACTTTTCAGTGCTGCATTCTAAAAGCATGAACTCTGTTCTTTAGAGCAACTTATGACTCTCATCTCTGCTGCACGGGAATATGAGATAGAGTTCATCTATGCTATTTCACCTGGATTGGATATCACCTTTTCTAACCCCAAGGAGGTATCTACACTGAAACGCAAACTAGACCAGGTAACTCCTTTTTAAGTTTTCCTTGCTCAGTACTTGAAATTAAAAGTGAGATGCATTTATGATGTTAAAAGGAAAGCAGGGGGGCTCGCTGATGGTGGGATAATTGGGGTGGCTGGATCCCCTATGGCCAATTTTGCTGTTTGAGTCATGGACCCAACTGCTTGAAAACAGAAAACACAGTGAGAGAGACCAGCAGGTAGTGTGGTGGTGAGGGCACTCGTCACCCACATGGCTGACTATGGTTTGAGTCCCAGACCAGGTGGCTTGCTTTCTCACTTTCCCTCTTTCTATCTCTCTGGTGAATGTGTGTTCCCTATAGTAAATTTTTAAAAAATAATAATGATAATAACATTAAAAAAAAAAAACCCCACAGTGTGTGCATTTGTGTGTATGTGTGCTCCCCAAATCCTAAAAGGAGGATGGAAGAGAGGGGATTATATATGGCTGTGCCCCCAGGGGCTGCTTTCTATCTGTCTTTCTCTCTCTCTTTCTCTCTTGGGAGCGCACATGTTCTACAGCAAATTATTTTTTAAAAAAAAAAGGAAATCAGGGCTAGCTTTATAGTCTAGTAGTAAAGAGAATCAGATCCCACATGGCTGACTGCAATTTAAATCCCATCCCTAGCAGCTAACAAGCTTGGCACAGGTACGTGCATACCCAAACTCCCAGGAGGATAAAGAAGAAAGAAATTGAGGTGTGACCATTATCCCACTGAGGGATACTTCATTTCTCTCTCTCTCTCTCTCTCTCTCTCTAGCTAGCATACACATGCTATGGTATATATTTTTTTTTTTTTTTTTTTTTTTTTTTAAGAATTACTTTATTGGGATCCGACAGGTGGTGTGGTAGTTAAGGGCACTGGACTCCCTCATGGCCAACTGTGATTTGAGTACCAGCCCTGGCAACTTGCTTTCTCTCTCTCTGGCTCTGTCCCTCTCTGGTCAAATTTAAAATAAGTAAATAAAGTTTAAAAAATTTTTTATAAAAGAAAAGGAAATCAGATTCATACTTTGTTTTTGTGGAAATTTTTAACTATAATGTTCTGGTAGAGGAATGATTTTCAAAGTAAATCAAAAGAGCTTTAATGGAGCTACTTACCAGTGCTTAATCTGCATAGGAACTGCCCTAAAAGAATACTTAGAAAAAAGTCTGACCACTGGGCTCCATTCCCAGAAGTTCTTAGTGCTGAAGTGATATGAGATCTAGGAATCCAGGTGATTCTCAGATAGGGAGTCCAAAGCCACAATTTGAGAAACTATATCTATTGTTGGATGCCTGACTGAAATTTTTTAATGATTACTTTATTTAAGTTAATTTATTATCATTAAGTTTGATCAGAGAAAGTGAGAAAGCAAGCCTGCAGGTCCAGGACTTGAACCACAGTCGGCCATGTGGGATTCCAGCACCTTTAACCACCATACCACCGGCTGGCCCTGAATTCTTGATTAGGGTTGTAGAAACAAAGTTTAGCCTGTTAGACATCAATTCTTCTATTTTATATAGACAGGAGATGTAATTCAGCCTAGAAAAGGGGCTAGTTTCCTGAGATAACAAAAATAAAGCAGGTAAACATGTAAGCTGTTAGTGAACTTGGTATGAATCCAGATTCTACTTAACACAAAACACAACTTTTTGGGTAGAGTCCCTGATTTTTGAATTTGTTGGCTTCTCCCTATATATGCTTTATTCCTTTAGGCAAAGATTTATATTGGCAACATTAAAGTGGCTGGTAAAAAAATTTAAGATAGTTGGGAACCAGCAGTTAGCATAATGGCTATGTCGCTGGACTCCCACATAGTCGACTGTGGTTCGCGTCCTGGACCCGGCGGCTTAAACTCACGCCGGGTGCGTGTGCGTGCATGCCCAAGATCCCGAGAGGAGAATGGAGGAGAAAGGGATTGCGGCGTGGCCATCCCCTCTGGGGGATGATTTCTCGCTTTCTGTCTCTCTGTCTCTCTCTGTCTGGCGAGTGCATGCACCCTATAGCAAAAACCTCTCAAAAAAAAAAAAATTTAAGATAGTTAAAATTTTTATGGCATTAAAATGACTGGTAAACAACTTGTAATTAAAATTTTTTATTAATGAACTTTTAAGAGGTTATTTCCCTACTCAGTCAGATTCTACCTTTGTGTTCTTTCTGATCTAATTCATGCCTAGTTGGGTTTATCCACAAATGGGTTAATTAGGATCAATGTTTCTTTTAGGACTAGAATAGTATCCGATTTTTTTCTTCATTTTTTCAGTTTATTTACTCATGTTTTATATTTTTTCTGACTCTGTTGGGTCTTCTACAATTAATAGCCAAAGAGGTACAAGGACAGATTACTTTGAAACTTTGTTGAAACATAGTGTCATTTTGCATTCAAACTGAAATGAAAAGGGGATCCCAAAACTCAGTCTGTTTAGAATCTCTTCCATGGAGGGCTAGCCCATGGCCTGGTGGCTAAGGGAGCTGGATCCCACATGGCCTGATCGTGCAGTTCCAGTCTCAGACCCATCATCTTGAGGGACACACTAGGCACGTGTATGTGTGCCCAGAGTACTGAAAGGAGGTAGAGAAGGGGAAATTGAGTCCCCCATGGGGAGGGGGGGGTGTGTTTTCTCCTTCTCTCTCTCTCCTCTTTCTCTCTCTCCGACAAGCACATGTGCCTTCTGAAGACTTTTTTTAGAGAACTTCTATTAGGTCTGATTTTGAACATTCTACTTAAAATATTTTCAGTGTAACTATTAAGTGTATTCTTTAGTATTTGGAATCCTTTTCTTTTTTGTTCCAGGTTGATAAGCATATTGATTTTTTTTTTCTTTTTCTAGGTTTCTCAGTTTGGGTGCAGGTCATTTGCCTTGCTTTTTGATGATATTGACCATAATATGTGTGCAGCAGACAAAGAGGTATTCAGTTCTTTTGCTCATGCCCAGGTCTCCATCACCAATGAAATTTATCAGTACCTAGGAGAACCAGAAACTTTCCTGTTCTGTCCCACAGGTATTGTATATAATAGCTTTATATTTACCTGTTCTTAAAATACATAACTTCCAAAAGACTACGTATGGGTCCTATCATAACTTCCCCTCCCACACCATGTATAAAATAAAAGTAGGAGGCTTTTTTCTCAAAGTCTTATGTTGGAGACATTTGGGCCAGGCTTATAGCACTGTGAAGTGTTGTGCAGAGGAAGTCACATCCCTCGTGGCCCACCAGGGTCTGAGTCCTGGCTCCAGAATTTTACATGCCAGATGGGTGTGCACATACGTGTCCAGGATCATGACAGGATGGAGAATTGATTGCAAAAGAAATGCAACACCACCAGGCCCCCCTGTAGGGAATCTCTTCACTCTATGTCTTGCATGCATGCCTCTGGCATAATAAAAAAAAAAAATTGGATATTTTTTTTAGTAATGGAAGTGTGTGGACATCATTAGGATTAAAGGAGGAAAGTAGTATTGTTGAAAGGAAAATGAAAAAAAACAAATTTACATTGCTTATATCTTAGTCACTTCTCATTTCCTCCTACTTGTTTTCTTTTTTTGCCCATGCATATCTATCCTTTTTCCACTCCTCCCACTCCCATCTGGGCTCTTATTTCCACCAGCTAGCATAGAAAACTGAATAATTGCAGGTGGCATGGTGGTTAAGGCACTGGGCACTCCCACATGGCCAACACAGTTTGAGTCCCAGACCTGCAGGCATGCTCTCTCACTTTCCCTCTCTCTCTGTCTCTCTCTCTAGTCAAATTAAAAATAAAAATGAATAAATATAATGAAATAAATACAACTCTTAAAAAACGAAAACTTAATAATTCTTACCATTTTTTTGTCCCCTTTTTTTTCCTCTTCCTTCCCTTTCTGGTTTCTTCCTTTGAAAATGTTTTCTTTTTTGCTGGGGTGGGGGGAGGTTTTTGCTCTAGGGTATGTGCACTTACCAGAAAGACAGAGATACAGGCAGTTTACAACTATACAGAGAATAATAAAATTCTAATTGTTTCTTTGGTAAACTTGTATTTTTAGTGACTATAGGAGTGTAAGAATTGATCTGTATTGCTGTTAGAGGAAGGCTGTCAGATTTATGAATTGATTTTTTTTTTTTTGGAGAGGTGTTTTTGCTATAGGGCGCGTGTGCTCGCCAGACAGACACAGAGAGACAGAAAGTGAGAAATCACCCCCCGGGGAGATGGCCACGCCGCAGTCTCTTCTCCTCCATTCTCCTCTCGGGATCTTGGGCACGCACGCACACGCGCCCGGCGTGAGTTTAAGCCACCCGGTCCGGGACTCGAACTGTGGTTGACTACGTGGGAGTCCGGCGACATAGCCATTACACTAACTAATCAATTCATGGTCCCATGAATTGATTCTTAAGTGAACTACCCACTTAAGTTACTTCCTTTTAATCCTTTTAGGTATGATATAGAGGCTTTTCATCATTTGGATGAAAAGAAATTAGAAGTGGTAGGCATTTTTCCCCATACAGAGATCCATGACCATTTCACTTCTGACTGTTTTACTTTTTTTCCCCTACATTCAGAATATTGTGGCACTTTCTGTTACCCAAATGTATCTCAGTCTCCTTATTTAAGGACTGTGGGTGAAAAACTTCTACCTGGAATTGAGGTGCTTTGGACAGGTAAGTCTTAAGGTATACAGTAAAACTTTTAATTAATTAGGCTTGTTAATTGAATACTTTTAACTGGGCCTTAATCAGAAAATTGAAAATGCCATGCCTTCTATAAAACAGACATTCTTCACATAGTATAAAAAAAAATCTTTTGAGGATTTTGCTGTGAATCTGATTATCCGATTATTACTGAATAGATATAAAGATGTGCAGGGAATTGACTAAAGTGTTCTGATCCCAGCCTTAGGAGATTATTCCATTGAATTGTTGGCAGTCATGACATATTTTTCTATGCAAAAATGAATCATGACTTTTCAGGCAACCCAATATTTTATAGAATGGAAAAATTAAACAGTAAAAAAAAAACCTGTTACTGCGCCAGCCACTGGTGAGCTGGTTAGGGCAGCTGAATATCCTACATGGCCAAATGCGTGGTTTGAGTCCTGGACTTGGTGACTTGGAAAACATTCCAGGCACGTGTGTGCACCCCTAAAGTCCCTGGAGGAGAGTGGAAGAGACGGATTGTGGCATGGCCATCCTCCTGGGGTTGCTGATGTCTTTAGCTCTTGTTCCCGCTCTCATACTTAGTCTAGCAAACACATGCCCCATGGCAAAATTCTTTAAATCATGTTAATTTTTTAAAAGGAAAATTCTTAGAGTGTGTGCATTAGAAGGAAGATGCAGTAAAAGTTGTATATGCAGTATGTTTTAAGTACCTTTATGTAGTTTTTGTTTTGTTTGTTTTTTAACAAGTGGTGGTCATTATTTCCAGGTCCCAAAGTTGTTTCTAAAGAAATTCCAGTAGAATCTATTGAAGAAGTTTCTAAGATTATTAAGAGAGCTCCAGTAATCTGGGATAACATTCATGCTAATGATTATGATCAGAAGAGACTGTTTCTGGGTCCATACAAAGGAAGATCCACAGAACTCATCCCACGGTTAAAAGGAGTCCTGACTAACCCAAATTGTGAATTTGAAGCCAACTATGTTGCTATCCACACCCTTGCCACCTGGTACAAATCAAATATGAATGGAGTGAGAAAAGATGTAGTGATGAGTAAGTAGCCTATACCTGAGCCTTGACTTTGGGAAGAGAGCCAGTGATAAGTATAAATTCTTTTGTCATCAGAGTTTGTGAAGTCTTATTAAAAATGTGTTGCTCTGCTCACCTGATGAGGTGAGGAAAGGTAGAAGAAAGGCTGACTGGCTTTGTACAAGTCACTTAACCTCTTGGCCTCAGTTCTTTGTTTTTAAAATGTGACTTAGTCTTGATGACTAGATAATCTTATCTCAGTTACTTCCTGTATCATTCAGATTCAGTTTACTGTGTGGAACATAGACTCATTTTTTTAGACATTGACTTGCTGATTCTTTTTTTTTTTTTTTTTATGAAAAATCCCTAATTACAGAGTGCTAAGTAAGAGAATACCGGTTAACTATTTATTTATATACATTTAAATAACATATTATGTGGCAGGTTCATCTTCCCAGGCATGGAGGAAGCAAAGAATAAAGTCCCCATTTTTGGAAAACAGTCCAGTATGGCATTAAGCATATAGGCAATTGTGTGATAAGGGTTGTAGTCTACAAAATGTGTTAATGAGTTATCTACGAAATGCTCTGGGAACGCAGGAGGGAGTAATAATTCTGCTGAGTAAGAGCAGTGATAAGATGATTTCACAGATATGTAAGCTGAGTCAAAGCATGGGTAGAGTTTGCTGGGTATTAAAAGATTTGTAGGCTGGAGGTGAGAACACTGGACACTGACATTTTGATGTTATCTGAATTTTGGCCCTTTTTTGGAGTATCAAAATAACACTTTATAGTACTTGGTGATACGTAATTATATTTTGTGTTGTCAAAAAAGCCATGATATATTTTTTTATGTTTTTCTATGCAAAATGTCACGACCTTTCTGACAGCCCCAGTGGTTGTAGTCTATTCAGTCCTATAACCCTGCATCCAATTATTTATAAATCAATGCCTTTTTTATTTTTTTTAATGGCTTAGTCATTGTCATCACCCTCCGCCCAGGGAAAAAAAAATCCATAAAACTAGGAATATAATCTCAATCCTGTCTGTATACCTGACACATACATAGCTCCTACACTCTTCCAATGCAAAATATGGAGACATGAAGGACTAGCAGACTCTAGCCAAACTGGGCCATGTGCATAGAAGTAATAAGGAAGCTAAGAGTAGTAGAGGGTTTTTCAGTACCAAGTTCAGACTTAATTTTCTGTACCACTGCCCTGATTCAGAGCTTCCTTCCCTTGTCTGTGCTCCTGTTTGGGCTCTATTGATTTTCTTTTCTCCCTCAGTGCGTTCATTAATAATGAAGTTATGGGACCAGCAGTTGGCATAATGGCTATGTCGCTGGACTCCCATGTACTCAACTGTGGTTGAGTCCCGGACCCAGTGGGTTAAATTCACACGGGGCACATGTGCGTGCGTGCCCAAGATCCTGAGAGGAAACTGGAGAAGGGATTGTGTCATGGCCATCCTCCCTGGGGGGTGATTTCTCACTTTCTGGTGAGTGCACATGCCTTATAGCATGTGCCTTATAGCAACCCCCCCCAAAACAAAACAAAACAAAACAAAACAAAACAAAAAAACACGTTACAAGCCCCTGACAGCCAGGGAATGTTTTCTTTATGGAACATATGGTGCCTGTAAACTTGAGTTTGGAATAATTGGTATTCAGTGAAAATTTATGATTGACTTTTCCAATGATTCTAAAATTCACATTTCTTACTTCAATTTGGATTTTTTAATTTAACAGTGCATTTAGGTGACTGTTCTAGGTGAAATGATTCAGTGAAGGTCTTGCTTGTGTTTGTATTTTATATTTAAGGTTTGTTCTGGTTCTAGTACTTTGCTTCTGTGGTTATACAACTAGCTGCATTTATTTCTTATTTGTCAGAAAGCTTTTGTCATCAAACTATTCTTGTGCTTTTTTTTTTCAGCTGACAGTGAAGACAGTACTGTATCAATCCAGATAAAGTTAGAAAATGAAGGCAGTGATGAAGATATTGAAACTGATGTACTCTATAGTCCACAGATGGCTCTAAAGCTAGCTTTAACAGAATGGTTACAGGAATTTGGCGTACCTCATCAGTACAGCAGTGAGTTTGGCTTTTTTTTTTTTGTAAGGCTGTTGGCTTACATGGTTGAGTTACAGGACAAAGGTTACTGTCATGTACCTTACCTTAGGCTCACTAAAGAAAGTGAAACTCAAATTAGGTTTAGTTTCTTGTTTGTTTGTGTGTGTTTTTTTTTCCCCTTGCCTATGGCCTAGTGGTTAAGGGACCAAATTATGTCAGGGAACCAGATCCCACATGACTGATCAAGTAGTTTGAATCCGACCCTGATAACTTGAAAAATAGGCATGTATGTGCCTGCATGCATGTCCAAAATTCTGACAAGATGGTGAAATGAAGGAGAAGGGACTGCCCCTTGACCATGCCCCCTTGTGGGGGTGCCTTCTTCTTGTCTTCCTCTCTGGCCAGTGCATGTGCCCTCTGGCAATAACCTTTTGGTTTTAAATAGCTATGATTTTGATTGCTAATTTATTTTCAAGTTTTTTTTGAATAATTGTTTTTAAATACAAATCTTCAAAAGAGAAA